CCACCATGCCCAGCTCCCATACATCTTTTTTACTATAGCAATACAACATATTGGCTAAGGCACAGGTTTGGAGTTGGGCTGTTCCCCTGAGCTAGGTATGTACTTAATTTGGGCCTCAGTTTCAAAATGGAGAATAAAGCCAGGCTTGGTAGGATACACTTGGAGGATGAGGTAGGACTGGAAGTTTGAATTAGGCTAGGCAATTTAGCAAGATGTTATCTCAAAATAAAAAGGGCTGTGGATATAGCCCAGCAGTAGAGTACTTTCCTAGTATGCATAAGGGCCTGAGTTCAGTCACTAGTACCACCAAAAAAAGAGAATAACTTTGTCCTAAGAGCATGAGGAATAGTATTTCAAGTTCTTAGTATAGTATCTGGCACATACTAAGTGCTTGGGAAGTGTTACTGTTATTACTATTTCATCCTATTAATTTCTCATAGGCTTGTAGTATAACTTGATCATTTTTGTATAATTGATAATTTTGACATTCACAAGTTCTTTGGGGATAAGTTCAGGAATATTTAATTTACACCTTTACATAGAAATTTATCTTTGCAAATCATCCAGTTAACTGATTTTTGTACAAATTCCTGCTTGTTCCCCTAACCTCTGAGAAATGTTAGTGCCATTCTTCAAGTCTCTAAGAATAACTAGCCTAGCATCAGCTGGCTAGCTAGCTTAATTAGTAATGAGCGTATCAACAGGATGTCAACCAGCATAAAATGTGGAATGTTTGGGGATGCAATTAAGAGCCCTGTCCATGGGACAGAGATTGAATCTGGGGAAAACAGCCTTGTCATTTGAGAGACTTTCAGTTCTGGACAGTGGTTTTTTTCCAGACCTCATCATAGTGTTTGCTTTGATTATATGCTCAGCAGATCTATCATCTTCTGATGATAGACTGGCTTGCCAAGGGGTGCTTAACAGGAAATGGGTGCCCTGGAGATGGAAACAAATATTCCGGTTACTGAAAGAACTAGCTTCTACTATAAATTTGTAAATTGTCCTTCAGGTTTATACATGAGCCTCATGTGATTCTGACCAGTGTCTTTCTGACACACAGAATTTTATTCCCCTTAAAAATATTGAGAAATATTGGTGCCCTATAATTGCCAGACTTGGGACCTCATCTTTGGTGGTGGTAATTTCATTAAGTTCATTAAGCTGTCCTCTAAGACTAGGCAGTCAGCCAGGAAGATCTCCCCGGTGATACCTCTTCAATATGCACTATTATGAGGTCTTCTTTCAAAAGCCAGTAAGTAGTAACTTGTTTGCTGGAGCCACTTTCTACTAGTTTTGTGCCGGATTTTTTTTTGAATAATTCATGTTTAATTACACAATGCATGAATTTTTTCTTTTATAAAAAACAAAATTAAGTGCCTTCTGTCACCTTCCCTGCCTGTCCCCTTTTCTGCCTGCTCTTGCCATTAGTAATGTATATGTATTGTTCTATGTTCTTTAAATGTATTTGTTATATGTAGAGATAGTATTCAGTGAAACTATGTGTGATAATGTTTGTGTCGTTAACATACAAAGTATCATACCTAACGTTTTGATTTCGGTCTACAATGACCCCAAAGGCCGTGTGCTTGGTTACCAGATGATGGGCTCTTAGGAAGTGATGGGATCATGAGGGCTGTGACTCCATCAGTGGTTGAACCCATGAACGGACTCATAATTTGACGGCACTATTGAGCAGTGATGGAAATCCAGGAGGTGGGGCCTGGTTGAGGGAAGTGAGTCATGGACGTAGGCCCTTGGGGACCCTCTTGACGACAGCCCCTTTTTCTCTGGCTCTGCTTCCTAGCTTCAAGTCTAGTTTTCCTTTTATCAAGTCCTCTGCCATGTTTCTGCCTCATGAAAGGCCTAAAGGAATGGAGCTAGCTGACCATGGACTGCAACCTGTGCAACTGTGAACTAAAATAACTGTTTCCTGCTTCAAGTTGGTTTGCTCAGGTGTCTTGTCACAGTGGCAGAAAGCTGACATCTTACATTCTTTTTTTGGTGGTAGCTGTTCAGTGATTTATCTGTTAGTAGAAAGATTTGCTCATTATTTCAAAATACTTCATGATATTCCAAAGTAATAATAAACTTGTATAGCTATTTTTCTATGAATGAACTTGTACGTTTTCCCCAGTTATCACGATAATAAACAAATGTCTTACATACATGTACCAGTGTTTCTCCAGGACAGTGGTTCTCAACTAGGGAAAACTTTGCTGCCAGGGAACATTGTCAATGTCTGAAGACATTTTTGGCTGTTAAAGTGTGGGGAGAAGACTATGCATCTGGCATCTACTGGGTAGGGAACAGGGATGCCACTACACATTTTACAGGGCACAAGACAGTACTCCCCCTGCCCCCCAGCCATGTATCCAGTTAAAGAGCAAGGCCAATGCTTTAAAAACATGGAACCTGTGTCTGATGTGGATTTCATTTCAGTTTTATCTGTAACAAACCCTTCCAAAACTTAACAGTAATTTACTCCTTCACAATGCTGAGTTAGCTGGCAGATCCCCTGAGATCACTCAGGTTCGTGGATTCAGACGGACAGCAGTGGGGCTGGAAAGGCCAAGGTATCCTCACTCATTAGCATGCCGGCAGTTATTTGCTAGCTGTCACCTGAGTCTGTAGTTCTCCATGTGGCCTCTCCCACAGCCTACACCAGCTTATTCTATGGTTACAGCCTTATTCCAAAAGATCGAAAAAGTGGAAGCTGATGGTTTGTTGATACTTGAACCTGCAATTCAGTGTCACTTCTGCTGCATTCTGTGAAACCAAGTCACAAAGACAACCCATATTCAAAGGGGAAATTACATGTGATTGTGTACACGTGTAATCCTGGCTACTCTAAGGGCTGGGGCAAGAGGACTATAAATTTAAGCCCAGCCTGGGAAACTTAAGTGAGACCCTGTCTGAAAAAGGGCTGGGAATGTAGCTCAGTGGTAGAGTACTTGCCTGGCGTGTACAAGGCTCTGGTTTCACTTTCTAACACTGAAAAGAGATAAAAAGGACAGGGGACAGACTACTGCTTGTCGGAAGAGCAACTTCTGCCAAGTCACACTGAACACTCTCACGTGAGGATTAGAAGACAAGGAAAACTCAAGTTTTAGAATGGTATGAGTGACGTTCATCTTATACAAAAAGGCTTCAGTCTAATATGGCCCCCAGCACTGAGGTCAAGTAACTATAAGGGCAATGGTTTAGTCCATTTCTATTGATAAATGCCTTTTAAAAATCATAGTTCACTTGTATTATCATAGCTCATAAAAATTTGTGAGTCTTAATCTTTCTGCCCATGGAACTAGACCGAGGAACTCAATTTGTTGAGGACTCTGAATGACCAGCTGCCAACCAAACAATTCTGCTGACCCATGGCAGTTGCAGGTTTACAATCCAGGATTTGACTGTTCAGAGATGATTCTAAAGGTCCATAACACATCATTTGTAATTGCTGGGCCATGAATATGAATCACGCTGTCGGGCTGGTATGCTAGAAAAAACCCATCAAGTGAGCTGTTTTGTTCAGTATCTTTATCTCAACAGAGCTTCATTGTTCTCAGCCCAGCAAGTGTGAAATCTCATCAAGTACCAGGAAAGGGTTACTTAATTTCCAATTTCACTTTATGAAGACAGTTAATACGCTATAGTGTTGGCATGTCAACATAAAACTGTGCAGCTCTTGGAATCTATCTCTGTGCCTAAAGGAAGAGGCAGGTGTGCGCCCTCAGGCTTCCAACAGGGGGAAATCCCAGCCATGTCACTGTTTTAGGAGGCTTGTAGGGTGCACTGAGAAAAGCACAGCCGCAGCTCTGGTAGCACTGCACAGTCACCCCGCCTCCTCTGCCTTATCTTTCCTGCTGTATGGCCAGAACTAGGAACTCCTAGACCCTACATCAGAGCTGGACTATGGATGTACAGCTGAAACATAAGTCCTAAGAAGTCACAATGAAGACATGTGCTTATCCTTCATTATCACACACCGTTACTTCTCTTTTTATAAACTTTACTGAGATGTGCCGGTCAGAGCCACTTCTTTATTTCTTAAGTGCTGGGATTACAGGCATGCGCCACCATACCCAGCCTTAAGAGTCATTTCTGAAGGACTCTGTTAACAAGTAAAAAGCAGAACCAGTGAGCTGAGCATGGTGGTGCACTGTAATCCTAGCGTTCAGGAGGCTGAGGCAGGAGGATCCTTGCCGAGTTTGAGGCCAGCCTGGGCTACAAAGTGAGTTCATGGCCAGCCTCAACTGCATAGCGAGACCCTGTCTCAAAAAGACTGAAAAAAACAAAAACAAAACCAAAAACACCCCAGAAAAACAGAACCAATGATAATGCTTTGGTCCATTTTATTTTTTGTTTCCAATACAAAGGTATGCGTATGTCCTGGGCATCCCGAGATATTTTATCCATTTTAACTGTATTTTCACTTTATTTTTATCATCATTCATTCATTCATTGAAGCTGATGACTGTTAAGAGCAGCCAAAATGGCAGAAACAACAGAGCACATTAATTTCCAATGTGCATTTTACAGCACAAAGGGAAAGTGCTGAGTTTAAACTGTTAGAATCATTTGTCTTTTTTTTGTCTCTAGCCTTTTATAATTCATACACTTTAGGCTGGTGAGTCTGCAAAGGAGTATCACAGAATTAAGAATACTTAAATAACACAAAATAGCTGAATAACCCATTGACTTCTAGGTTCAAAAAAATGTAAAATGCATTGTTTGGAATCACGCTGCTTACACTGTGTTACAGGAGGAGGTCTGACGGGAGCTCTGTTCAATCCAACTTTGGCACTCTCACTTCACTTCATGTGTTTTGATGAAGCGTTCCCTCGGTTTTTTATAGTATACTGGCTGGCTCCTTCTTTAGGTAAGCATATTTTTATTTAGTATGTCTGGAAATCAGGGTATTTTAAATATGATATGGAATGTTACTGTCATATGTCAATTTCCACAGCAGAGCAGGCACAAAAAAGAAAAAGGTAGTTAACAGGCTCCAAGTAAGATTTTATTTTGTACAGTAGCCTTTAAAACTCCTTATCAGAGCTAGGGGTGTAGCCGAGTGGTACAGCACTTACCTAGCACTCAGGAGGCCCTGGGTTTCACTAGCACCATAAATAAGTAAATACACTAATTAATTAAAACCTTTTTACCTTTAAAGAAACAAAATCATCAAGTTAAGGTTAATCAGTTTCAGGTATGGTATCTCTTTAAGAAGCCCTGAGGGGTAGGAGAGATGCGCTTCCGTAAACCCAGCACTCTGGGAAGCTCAAATAGAAAAGTCCCAAATTTAAGCCCAGTCTGAGTGACTCAGTTGAGACCCTTTATAAAAATTTAGAAAGAGCTGCAGACATAGGCTAGAGTGTGAAGGCCCCAGGTTCAATCCCCAGTACCATAGATACACCCACCCCACACACACACCCCCTGAGAAGTTGGGGTGCAGCTCAGTGGCAGTGCTCGCTGCCTGGTTTTGACCCCTACCAAGCACACGTACATAGATTCAGGTGCAGTGGCCTGTGCCTGTGATTACAGCTACCAGGAGTCTGAAGGAGAAAAATAAAATCCCCTGAGCCTACGAGTTCAAGGCCAGCATGGACTCTTTAAAAAGAGAAAAAAGCATGGAGTGATCACTTAAGAAAAAATCTTTTTTGCTGAAATTTATCTTATCAAATTTGCGCTCCAAACAAATGTTATTTAACTCACCTGACTTGCAGAAGAGCATCTCGTGAATTACTAAATAACCTCAATTAAGTATAGTTTTTAGATTATTCACAAGTTCCATCCTTATTTTATTTGGATCAGATATGTAACCATTTTATACAGAGGGGTCAAATAACATGACAAAAATTACACAATAAGTATAATTGTAATGGGCTTTTTCTTTTCTTTTTTGGGGGGGCGTGATGAGGTGGCACTGGGCTTGAACCTAGGGCCTCAAGTATGTTATACAAGGGTTCTACCAGGAGCTGTATCTCCAGCCCAGTCAATATGCATTTCTTGAGCTCATTGTGGTGATGCCAGCCTGTAATTCCCACACTGTAATTTACTCTGTAATCCCTAAACAACATACAAAACCATCTCATAAAAAAATGCACTTCTTTATAGAAGTTGTCAGCACTTCTTGATTTTGTTCAATTATTTTTTTTTGGAGACTGTCTCACTATGTAGTGCACTATGTAACCTTGAACTCATTATGTAGTTCAGGCTGGCTTCAACTCCCTATGATCCTTCTGCCTCAGCCTCTGGAGTCCTGGGATTAGAGATACAGCATCACATCCACTTAGTTTCCTGTTTTAAACCTACTTATAATTAATAACTATAAATTAATAAGGATGCCTAGCCTCCACTAATTCTCCACCCTTGTTTTTGTCCAGTTAGCACTTTGTTTCATATTGCTTGTTTTCTGTTTAAAATGTCACATTATAAAGGAAAAAGAACTCTTTCCCTTTTACAGACCAGAGAGTGGGAGAGTGTAGTTCAAACAGGAAGATAACACCTTACTGTGGCCACTACCGACACATTTTAAAGACACATGAAAATACTTGAAATACCCAAATAAAAAATATTTTTATTCATTTATTTGTTGCCCATGGAAGGAGTCTCTTACAAGTAGAATCAGGGGCCAGGGATTTAGCGCAGTGTCACAAGCATGTGCCTGGCAAGCGCAAGGTCCTGAGTTCGATTCACAGTATAAAAAAAAAAAAAAAAGAACTATGGACAAGTAGAATCAGGATCAAGTTTATCAGTACTTATGGATGGCCCTATTTAGCTTGTTGAGAGTACATATTCACAGATTCCAATGGACCCAATTAAAAATTTCTGTTGTAGTTTTTGGTTTAAAGAGGCATGCTCTTACACTCTTTTATGAGGTCTATGAATGAAAAATAAAGTCATCCTTTAATATGTTGATAAAATACATGTCTGTGAATAAATGGCAGTTGTCAGAGCACTAAATTCTAGCTTGCTACTGAACTTTGTCATACAGTATATTGAAGTTACATTCCTGATGGAAAAAAAATGGCTCCAAATGAAATAAAGTCACAATTAAAGAATGGGAAAAATAGGGCCAGGGATATGGCTCCGTGGCACAGTGCCTGCCTGGCAAGCGCAAGGTGTGAGTTTGATTCCTGATACCACAAAAAAAAAAAAAAAAAAAAAAAAAACCCAAAAAACCCCCTTCCGTTTGCTTATTTTCTAACTCTCTTGTCAGAGTTACAGGGACAGAGAAAAAGAATGTAAAAATAAGCAAAAAATTCAACAGCAAAAGCTCTCACCGTAAGAGATCACTGTAATTCCTCTAATC